AAGGACAGCAGCGTGCCGTTGGCTCTGCCCGCTGCAGCAGAAGAGGTGGTGCCCACGAGGTGGGCAAGCAGCAGGGTGCAGCGGCACACCCCAGGCAGTGCAGGAGAGATGGGGTGACAGGAGCCAGTGGCCTTTGCAGCCAGGCAGGGAGGAAGGAGACTTGGAGGTGAAGAACTGTGGAGAGCAGGCTGAGGTGATGGAAGGGTCACACGGGATAAAGCTTCGGCTCCGGCTGCCAAAGTCCCCCTTGACCTGTCTGATGTTGGGGCTCACGGGGTGCCTGGCTTTTTGGCAGCGCTGAGTGGCATGCACTGGCCGTGGATTTTATTCCTGGAGCTGTCATGGAGACGGGTAAGAAGAGCTGGGCTCCTTCAGGCCATGTGTGGGCGAAGCCCTGCAGCATGCAGGAGCTGAAGATCGTGACGAGTCTCTCAGCACCTTCCCCCGCCTTTGCTCCGTGCTTCAATCCCCTGGGGACCCCCGTGGACGGGGGCGTGAGGAGGAGCCTGCGCGGCTGGGGCTCCGAGTGGGATGCGCCGAGCCTGCGCATCACGCTGCTGCTCCCAGCTCCAGTTGTCCCAGTTGTGACTGTTGGGAGCTGCCGTTAACTCAGGTTTGCTTTGTCTTTTTGAGACGCAGCCGAGGAGCTGTTCATGGCAGCCTTTGCGCGCACGCTCTTGCATCCTCTGCGGGGAGCTGGCCCCCGGGGCCGTAGCCGTGCTGTGAAGAGCAGCTCCCCTGCGTCAGCGCCAGTGGAAGATCACGTTGGAAACCTCTTGCAGTGCCTGCAGTGCTTTCCAGCGTAGGGGCTCACAGGTTCCAGCTGTGCTCTTGGCCACCTGGGAAGGGAAATGCACGCAGCAGTCAAATGCACAGGAGCATGTCCCTTTAATGTCACCAGGCTGAGCTTCAGTGCCTCATCCTTGGGGAGCCTGGGACTCCCATCCCACCTGCCTTCACCTTGCCTGATTGCCAGCTGTACCCTGCCAGCTTGCTGGTGCTGATGCTGAGGGCTTTCCTGTTTCACAGATGGGGTGAAGGCTCGTGGTGGCAGTGTTCTGCCATGCTTATTGCGTGGAGCGTGCCATCTCTGGTGGGCTGGGAGCAGTTCAGGGCCTCAGTGCTGGGGAGGAGATGCACGTGGCATCCATCGGTGCAGCCGGCCTGGTCGGAGCAGAGCTGCTGCTGCCAAGTCTGCCAGCATCGTCCCTCCTGGAAAGGGAACAGTGATGAAGAACATACCTTGCCAGCATCCTGTGAAACAGCGACTCGCTCTCGTGCAGTGGCTTGGCCCCAGGTGGCTGCTGGCAGAGGTAGCCAGGGGTGATGTGTTCCCGTTGGAGCCGGGCCAGTGGCCGGCCAGAACTCGGCCTTGCTGCGGGTGAGGCTCTCCAGGCCCTGCTGGGACCCTGACTCCTTCCCACCCCAGACCGAAGCTCCTGTCCCCAGGCCTGTGGCCGTTCCCTGCAGGGGCGAATGTGCCTCCCTGAAGAGAGGGGCTTGTGGCTGGGGAGCAGATCCCCAAGCCCTGCGCTGGGAATCCCGCTTCGGGCGTCATTGCTCAGCTGATGCTGCTTCAGTAGCTGGGTTGGGGGTGCACGTCTCAAAGCCGCTGCAGAGGGGCCAGGCGACAACCAGGGCCTGGCACCTCCTGCCACTGTCAGCCCCGGGGGGTCCCAGGCTTTGAGCAGGCTGGGGGGCTTCCCGGAACATCCTGAAAACCCTGTGGCTGTGAAACAAGCGCTAAAATGCTGCTTTGCTGCCTGTGCCAGTTGTCATTCCCAGTGGGAGCAGAAGGGTTTCTTCCATCTCAGCTGGATTGCAACAGGGCGCAGCGAGGCTGAACCCTCCCAGCACTGCAGTGTGCTGCTGCAGGCCGTCATGCCGGGCAGCTCCGGACTGCTGTTTGTTGATGCTGGTCTGACCTGTCACTGGTCAGGGGACAACGCTTGTCCAGCAGCGACTTGCAGTGACGTTTTAAGCCCAGTTTGCAAAGCCAAATGTCAGCGCAAAGCACCTGCAGGGGCTCCCATCTGGGAGGGAGGCAGGGAGGGGGTCTCAGCCTGTTTCCACAGGTACTGAGGTAAAAGCTGTTTCTGGCTGGGAAGGTGTTTATGGTATTCTTCGAGTGCATCTTGGTTTTCCAGGGACCACACCTTGCTCGGCAAGCCAGGCGCTGGGGTTTGGATGTGCTGCTAAATATTGTGTTACAGCATCACAGGTGTGTGGCTTTTTTCTGTGGGGTTGAAGGGTTTTCCGCCCCCCTCTTTTTGTTTTTCAGGACACTCAAGAGAAGGAAACCATCACCCCTGAGAGAGCAGAAGAGGCAAAACTGAAGGCCAAATACCCCAACCTAGGCCAGAAGCCTGGAGGTTCTGACTTCCTCATGAAGAGACTGCAGAAAGGGGTATTTATTTCTCAGCAATGGCTCATCCGCATCCTCTCCTCCCTCAGTGGCACGGGCAGCCAAGCTCCAACCAGGCCAGAGGAGTCACACCAAAATTCCCTGGGTCAAAAAGCCTGTTGAACCCACGGGCCAGGCTACTTTCAGTGCCTGTGCTGTGGCACCCAGCTGCTGTAGTCTAGCAAGAAGGGCTTGTGCTTGCTCAGAACCCAAAAGCTGCAGCCTCCCGAGTGATTTTGCTCTGAGTATCTCCCCCAGCAGTGGATCCCACCCTGTCCTCCACACCCTGACCTGAAACCTGGGGTCTAGAAGCAAAACAAGTGCATAAATCCCCCCCCCCCCCGCCTGCTGCTGGGGTTCAGTGGGCCACTGAGGTGCTGTGGGCCTCAGTTTTTTCTCTCTGGTCTGCACTTTGCCTGGGTTCTGGGCTGGTGCAAAGGGCACTGAGAATAGCAGTGAGTCAGCTGGCTGCATTTCCGTTGCTGGTACCAGTGTAAAAAGCCAACCCTCTGACTGTGCTCCCTGGAAATGTAATTAAATCCTTCTCCGAGAGCCATCTGTAGCCTGCTTGGGTTGTGACTGCTGGCTCTCCTCCTTGCGGAGGCTGGTGCAGAAAACATCAATCCCTCCCGAGCTGCTGGCAGCCGGTGGCCGCGTGCCTTCCCCAGCTCTGAACACACGATGTCCCTGTGTCACGCTGCACAGGGTTTGGCTCTGTCCTGCTGCTTCCCTTTCAGCTTGTATTGACAGCTGTGCCCTCTGCCTGAGCAACCACTGCGCACGCTCACTCTCGCCGGTGATGTGATCACTGGGGCTGGTTTAGGTACCAGCTCCTAAAGCAAGCACGGAGAGCAGGGTTGTTTAATGGTTGGCGCTGAAGCAGGGAAGGGCTTTTGATCGGGACTGGGCTCACTGGGGCCTGACGGTGCACTGGGGCAGAACTGGGCTCTTCGGAGCTCTTGTGCCCAGCAAAACCTTGTCTGTAGCACCAGCACAAGCTCTGCTTTGGTGTTCAGCCTTTCCTGCGCCGCTGCGGGGGGTGAAGCAGCTCCGTGAAAGAGCACAGAGTCCTGTGGTGGTGATAAGGGAGTGAAATGCCTTTTGAACCCCGGGCCAGTGGTGCTGTGCAGCAGGGAGGTGTCCTCTGGCCACATCTTCACAGGCATTTCCCTGCGTCATTTAGGCCATTGGGGGCCTGGACAGTCCGGTGAAGGCCTTGGCACTGGCCAGGCTGTGCTCCCTGGGGAGAAAATCCTGCCTCTGTCACACCAGCTCATCTGTTCACCAAAGCAGAATAAACTGTGTCAGCAAACGTCCCCTGGCTTTGCCACTGTCGCTGAGCCTCTGCCTGGAGGCATCGGCTGACGTGGCTGTGCCTGCGTTTGGCTGTTCTGGGGGTCTCTGGACCAGGGCTGAATCCCCGTCACGCTGAGTGTGGTGCAAGGGCAGGGCAGGACAAACCTGGTCTTTACCCAGCCAGCGCCACGCCAGGCAGTGAAACTTCACAGGCCACAAACGCCCAAAGGTGGGTCAAAGGGAGAAAACGCACCGCGGTGTCTCTAGTCAGGCAGCTGCTGTGGGGCAAAGCTTCTTCCAGCTTGAGCAGGTCTGAGTCACTTGGGGGTTCGTGGGTGGGTGCTAAAGGCCTTTTAAATCGGGCCAGGCTCCCTTGTTTGGATTTTTCCCCTTGTGATGTTTTGGTGACCTGGTTTTGAGCAACCCTAGCAGCTCCTTAAAGGATCACATTTGTGGCCAGGTGTCTGTGTATCTGCTGTGTCCCCACACTCCTGCAAATCAAAGTAACCCAAACTCCTCTCCTCTTCCAGCAAAAATACTTCGATTCTGGTGACTACAACATGGCCAAGGCAAAGATGAAGAACAAGCAGTTGCCAAGTGCGGGGCCAGACAAGAACCTGGTGACAGGTGACCACATCCCCACGCCACAGGACCTCCCGCAGAGAAAATCCTCGCTTGTAACCAGCAAGCTGGCAGGGTAGCCTGCACTCACAGGCTGGGTTTTTTCCTGTTTTCTTTTTTTCTTTTGGCTAAATGGATTGAACTTCACTGTACCATAGGGATGGGAGCACCAGAATCTGCATAGTTATTTGAGTATTTACAGCAAACACACACCACAACCAAGGCGGCGAGTGAGAGGTGTCAGTAGCCTGGGATGCACAGGCAGACTTGACTGGGCCGTTCCTTTTAGCGAGTGAGTTTGCTGCCTTAATTTTCATGTGGTTTGAAACCATCCTCTTGCAGAGCCACTGAAGCGCTGCCTCCTCGCTGGGAGTGTCGAGCGGCCCTGGGAGAAGCAGGAAAGTGCTCAGAGGAGTCGCTTGCTGTTTGCTTGGCACTGGCTAGGAGGGGAGAGCTCAGAGCTGTGGCGTGGGAATGCTTTTCAGGTGTCAGGTGACTGCAGAGGAAGAACCGGCTGGGCAGAAGGTGCGATACGTGAGCTGAAAGTTTAGTTAGGTGTGTGCGTTAGAGCTTGTAAGTGAAGAAATTAGCTGATACGCAAAAAATTACGTGGCTGTGTTGCTGGGCTGAGCTGCCTGGGATCTGTCCTCTGCTTGCACAAAGCAGCTGAGCTCGCAGGAGGGGATGACGTGTCTGACTGCTGCGGGAGAGGGGCCGGGCAGTGTTTGAAACAGTCTTTGTGGCTTGGAGCTGCGATGAGGCGTTTGCTGTTTCGGGGATAGAGCCAGAACCCCACCACAGCCGCATCTGAGCATGGCTGTGATGGAGGGGCACAGCGTGAGGCTCGCAGCTGCCCCAGAGCAGTCCAGTTTGGGGACGGTTTCTTTCTCCCCGGTCAGTCCTGGCCAGCGAGGCTGTCTGCCTTGGCAGGGGTGAGAGATGGCCCCTCTCGCAGCTCCGGGTGGGCAGCAAAAGGTGGCGAGCTGGATCCCACCAGCAGCCGGGCACTGCTGTGCGGGCAGGCAGGCAGAGCCCTGTCTGGTTGCAGGCAGAGCCCTGTCTGGTTGCACGCAGCCCCTGCCCGCTCCCCAGATGTTGGCACTTGCAAAGGCAGGGGCAAGAGCAGCTGGTGAGACAGATGTGAGCTGTGGAGATGATGCCTGGAGGGAGCGAGGCAGGACTGGGAATAACCACCCCGGAAGGGAAAAAAAGCACCAGAGACAGAGAGCATGGAGATTAGGAAGAGAGCAGCATAGAGGCAAACCTGTGTTGACAGTGGCAGGTACCCCAAGCTTGGATTTCTTTCTTTTTTTCTCCCTTTCTTTTTTTTTCTTCTCCCCTTTTCTTTGTTCCAGGCCTGAAAAAACAAAAAAAAACAAAACAAAAAACAAAACAAAAGGTTGGTGTGATGGCTGCAGCCTGCAGAACGACATGCACGCTTGGTGCCTATGCTTGTCTGCTCCTTGTGCAGCGGAGACGAAGCGGCCCCCGTCCTGTGCAGCAGAAGGGCTTGGCATGCCTGTGCCAGGGCAGCGCTAAACCTGCCTGGTTTAGGCCTGCCTTTGAAGGCATGTGGGCAAAAGGAAGTCGAGCAGACTTTTTGGGGAGAGGGGAGGGATTCCCATCAAGTCAGGAGAAACCAAGGCAGGGCACGGCTTTCCTTACATGTGTTCTTGGCTGGCTGACTCAGGCTTTCCTGAGAACCCGTTTCACTCATCGTGCTGTTGTGCTGCTGGCCGGAGCGAGGAATGCGGTGTTGCTTCCCAGGAGAGTGTTTGCCCAGGGTGTGCTCGAATGCTTGCGTCTTCAAGGTGGTTCGAGGTAACCCAGCCACAGCCCGACTTGTCGGGGCACTCTGAGCAAGGGGCTCTGTTGCTGGCGCCGTGGCCACGGAGGACAGTTTTCTCTTTGTGGGGCAGGCAAGGAGCGTAGCGGGATTGGGGGCTGCCCACTCGTAACCACAGGTCCGTGCTTCAGGCTCTGCCACCTTTCCAGACCCTGCGTGACCTGGCCAGGGCGGCGCTGGCAGTGGCTGTGCAACCTCCTTGGATGTCCTGCTGTCCCAG